GGTGATGGAGCTCGGAGGTCGAGTGTCTAGCCACTCCTTGGCCTGCCCCTCCAGAGTGAATGGGAAGTACCTCGGCTGGATGGCATCTGCTGGTACCCCATTGATCTTGATTCCATCGATTAGCTCGTGGAATCGCCTGAGATGTGATCGGGGGCACTCTCCCTCCTTACCACGAAACACTATTGAACCGCGCAGTATGGTGATTACTGAGGTGCTCACCTCAAAATTGTTGGCTGGGACATGAGGGTGTTGAATGGGTGACCTCATATCCGCAGCTCTAGCGGTCCAGTAGGATCCCATGGTCTGCTCCTCTGGGTTGATCACGTCATGGTTCTGTGGATCAGCCATCTCTTCTTCTTCTTCTTCTTCTTCTTCTTCTTCTTCTTCTTCTTCTTCTTCTTCTTCTTCTTCTTCTTCTAACTGCAGCTGTGATAGCTCCTCCTCCGCAGCCAGTCGCGCCTTTAGAGCCCGCTTGAAGTTCCTGCACGTTCGTTCAACCTCCTGGTCTAATGGTAGTAGTTCTCCCGACTGGCTACGGGTCATGCACTACCTGCACACAATCAGCAGAAGCAACCCGTGAAGGCACACAGGTGGAAGAGAAAAATGCAATAAAGAAAAAGCTAGAGTAACAAATTCTCACGTTTCTCCCAATAATCTAGAGGGGTCCCCGGCAACGGCGCCAAAAACTTGACACGCCAAAACACAACACCAAACTGCGACCAAGTGACATCGCAGTCTGGGAATGCAGTAACAGGCAAGTTATATTATCAACCCGGGGTCTAGATCTACTGCTTACTCCGTGATTCTCTATTATCTAGCAAACTAATTCGAGTGATTGTTGTTTAAAACCAAAGCAGTAAGAAAGCAGTAAACTGTTCGGTTTTCTAAAGCAGGTAAGAGTCACTCGGGATTGAGTCCCCCTAGCCCCTTAGTTAGGTTCAATTGTAATTCTCTGGGTTGATTTACTGTTGATTAGACTGCGGAAGATCCGACAATAGCTTGGAGGGGCAAGACGCCCAAGAAGCATAAGAACCATGGATATGCAGAGAGGAAGAGCGAGTTATGTGCAGACCTCGATCAACGGTGCCACAAAGGTAGCGTAGGATGCGCTTGACAGCACCCCAATGAGCTTCCGAGGGAGAGTGCTGGTATTGGGACACATGGTTCACTGCGAAGGAGATATCAGGTCGAGTAAACCTCAAGTACTGAAGACCACCAACAAGGCTTCGATAAAGCGCAGGATCGGCAAATGGCGGGGAAGCATCTAGAGCAATGTGCTGAATGATGTCGATGGTGGAAGGCGTGGAGTTTGGATTGGCGGCTGCCATCTTCGCGCGATCGAGCAGTTCGTTGATAAATTTACGCTGACTGAGAAGTATACCAGAAGCAGAGCGATGAACTTCTATGCCAAGGAAATAAGAGAGTGAGCCAAGATCCCGAAGAGCAAATTTGTCGTTGAGATAATCCATCAGTTGCTTTAGTAATGAGGAGGAATTGCCGGTGAGCACAATATCATCGACATAGACGAGCATGTAGAGGCGGACAGAACCAGACTTATATATGAAGAGGGATGGATCAGTTCGAGAAACAGAAAACCCAAACTGAACCAAGGCCGCGGCCAAACAACCAAACCAAGTGCGTGGAGCTTGGCGAAGGCCGTTAATACTCTTCCGAAGACAGCAAACATGATCCGGTTTGTCGGGATTGACAAAACCCACCGGTTGGCGCATATAAACTGTTTCCTGTAACTCACCATGGAGAAAAGCGTTAGCAATATCAAGCTGATGCAGTGGCCAGCTTTGAGTGACGGCAAGCCCAAGAACAAGGCGGAGCGTCGCAGGGCGAAGAACTGGGCTGTAGGTCTCGTGAAAATCAACACCCGGAATTTGCTGAAATCCACGAGCAACCAAACGGGCTTTGTCGCGTTCAATGCTCCCATTGGCGTGATATTTGGTGCGAAAGACCCATTTGTTGGTGAGGAGATTGCAATCCGCCGGTGGGGGAACTAAGTCCCAAGTATGATTCCAAATCAAAGCAGTGAATTCGTCGGTCATGGCGGCACGCCAGCGAGGAAGCTTGAGGGCCTGAGCAGCCGAGGTTGGTGTGTCATTCAATGGAGGGTGAGCAAGGAAGGTTTTAGGCTTAAGGTGACCTTTTTTAATTCGGGTGACCATGGGATGGTTGGAGGCAGTGGGATTGGTGATCAGGTAAGGTTGGGGAGACGTGTTGAAGCGAGGTCGGGGGGGGGGGGGGGAAGGGGTTTGCGAGGAGGAAGGGGAGTAGGAGATCGAGGGGTGGAAGCAGAGACGGACGATGGCGAGGGTCGTGTGGCGGACAAAGGGTTAGGCCGAGTGGGAGGAATGATTAAGTCGGGTGGACTGGGAGGAGAGGATGGGTGGGGGCTGGGGGCATTGTCAGGTGGATCGGGAGGAGAAGAGGAATGTGGGCTAGGGGAAGAGCCAGGTGGAGTGGGAGGTGGGGAGGGTGATGGGCTGGCAAGAGAGTCATGGGCCGGAGAGGGATTGTAATGGGCCGGAGAAGAAAATGAAGGGAGAGTGGGTAAAAGAATGGGGCTTGGGCTAGGAAGAGAGGCCGGGCAGGAAGAGGGAGATTGGTTCTCGTGGAAGGGAAATTTAGTTTCATCAAATAAGACGTGACGACTGACATAAATACGACCAGTGGGCGGGTGGAGGCAACGGTAACCTTTATGGAGTTTGCTGTAACCAAGGAAAACACAAGGAACAGAACGAGGTTCGAGTTTGGAAGAAGTGATCGGACGCAGCCAAGGGTAGCAAAGACAACCAAAAACTCGTAAGTTGGAAAGATCCGGGGATCGGTTAAATAATGTAAAAAATGGTGAATTATTGTTGAGGAGAGGAGTAGGTGTACGATTGATGAGGTAGCAAGCAGTATCAAAGGCAAGCGTCCAATATTTTTGAGGAACTTGAGCATGATGCAAAAGAGCAAGACCATTATTCACGATATGACGATGTTTGCGCTCAGCGCAACCATTTTGTTCGGGAGTATAGGGACAAGACGAACGGTGAGAAATGCCATGATTAAGAAGATAGGATGTCAAAGCTTGGTATTCGCCACCCCAATCTGATTGGAAAACCTTGATAGGTAAAGAGAAGAATTTTTCAACCATTTGGCGAAATTGAATGAACACACTAAGCAATTGCGATTTGTAACGCACAAAGTAGATCCAAGAAAATTTGTTGTAGTGGTCATAAAATAAAATGTAGTAGGATTGATCATCATAAGAAAGAGTAGGAGCAGGGCCCCAAACATCACTACAAACCAATTCTAAAGGAGCATTTGCTTTGAACGTGGAAACAGGAAATGAGAGTTTGTGAATTTTGCTAACCGCACAACCATGACATAACGAAGAGGGACTAGAGACAAAATTTATTTGATGGTGGCGGAGAGCACTTTTGACAGCCGGCAAATTAGCATGACCAAGACGTTGGTGCCAAGTGTTGAGGGAGGCGAGACAGGCTTGAGGAGAGAGACGGCGAGACACGTGGAGGGGCAGAGAATAAAGTCCATCCACTGCAAAGCCGCGGTATAACTCAGCGTTCGTATGACGGTCCTTGATAACAAAAGAAGAGTCGAAAAATTCAATGGAGACCGGGTTAGAACGAGTGAGTGAACTAATGGACAATAAGTTGTATGGAGCATTTTTGACATGGAGGATATTATCAAGAGAGAGAGAGAAGCGGTGGATAAGGCAGCACGAGAAGAACCAGAGTGAGAGATAGGGAGGGAGTTACCGTTGCCAAACAGGACCTGATCAGTACCATTATATTCAGAGTGATGGGCTAAGTTGTCCAAATCGGAAGTCAAGTGATGGCTTGTATCGGAGTCGACAAGCCACTGTTGAGGATTAAAAGGTTGGGCCGGACTGGATGCTAAATAGGCATATGGACCAGGAGAAAAATGGGAGGGCCCAGACTGTGAAATAGGGGCGGATTGGGCTGAGGGAGCGTGATGCTGAGATGGGCCGGAAGGGGTTGACGGGCTCAGACAATGAGGGCGGATATGCCCTTTACCACAGTAGTTATGACACACCAAATGCTGGTGAGAGACATTGGGCCTGGCCCCAAGCAAGCCCGCCGATGGCCTGTCAAACAAAACAGCAGAAGAAGTATGATTAGGGGAAAAAGAGCCACGGCCCCTGCCGGCGCTACGGCCGCGACCTCGGCTACCACGGCCACGCGAGCCACCAAAATCGCCAGGGTGAGAGAAGAAGGGAGCCAACGTGGAAGGGAAAGTGACGTTGTTGTAGCGCTTGAGCTGGGACTCTTCAATGAGGAGAAGGGAGTGGAGATCTTAAAAGGAGATCGGCTCCATCTTGGATTCCAAGTGACGAACAAAGGGCCGATAATCTTCACCAAGGCCATCCGTAATCCAACCGATAAGATCGCCAGGACGAACGGGTGCCCCAAGAGCGGCCAATTGATCAGCCTTCGATTTTGCCGTTTGAAGGTATTCATGAATACCCACTTCGCCGCGACGCAAATGTTGCAGCTCCTTAGTGAGATGACGGATCTGAATTTTGGATCCAGAAGCATAGATCCGGGCTAAGGCCGACCACGCATCAAAGGCAGTGGTTTTGTTGATGATGTTGGACATGACAGCCTCAGAGAGGGAGCAAGTGATCCAGAGAAGCACATGCTGATCACGATCATACCACTGTAAGTATGCCGGATTGGGCTGATCGTTGACAAGCGGCGGTGGTGCGGGAAGCGTGCCGTCAACATGCCCCATCAGGTGATATGATCCCAAATGGTCCATTGTACACGTTTAAATTACTTTACGAAGAAGCTATCGAAGTTGGGAAGAAGAAAGGCAGAATTTGGCTGTGTCAAAATCCGTGTTCAGGGTACATACTTTGGAGGCATGATTCTCTCAATTTGCTTGGTGGAAATTCAAGTTTAAGGGTTTGTTTTGCAGATCAAGTTACCATCTTTCCAATGGTATGCTTTATGGAGCCAGATGATGTCATTAAGGTTGTTTTCCAAGGCCTCAAAGTTGCTACCTCAAAACTGGAAAACTGCCAGAAAATGGCTAAGGCAGAAAACTGTTTTGTGAAGCCTACTTTGGAGCTCAATTCAAGGAGCATGGATCTGATTCGAGACCAAAGGCTTCTACAACATGAAACTAGGTATGTTTATCTACCAAGGGAAGGAATCGGATGAAAGATCGGAGTTCTGGAAGGTCTCGAACGAAAGGCGCGAAGTTAGTACGAAAGCTGCCTTTTGACTGTTTTGCGGGCAGCTTACTTGTGCTTCAAGAAAGGAAGTTTATGGCCGAATTTAGAGTCCTTTTTAGAGTTTGTTTTTACCTTAATTGTTTCCTTGTTCATCTAGATTTGTATTAGGTTTATTTGCCTTTAAATACCGTTCTATTTACGTTGTAAAACATAAGACTTTGTTGAATAGAAATCGAAACCGTTTGGTTTGTGCAAGTTGCGACTTGTTTTGGGTTTGGTGGATTCCAAACTTGCTGAGCTTGTGTATCGATTGAATAGTCACTTCAACCGTGGTCGAGCAACTACCCTTTTATACCAATCGAGCTATCCCCAGGTGTGGATTTGTCCTTTTGGTTCTGTTTTATCCAAGTTCGTATTAAGAACGCTTCGTTCTTGATTCGAGCTCAATCGATTCTTCAATTGAGTCGTTTGCTGCGTTACTTTGATAACATACACCCCCCAAGGGCGTATTAAGTGGTATCAGAGCCCCGTTCTACACGAGGGCAAAGAAGAAGAAGCAATCAATTACTTCGATACATACAGAATTCTTGAGCAAAAACAGGGCAGCCCCTGCCGAGCAGTTCTAGGTTTCTAGCTGCTGTTTGGTGCGCATTCTCAATGGAAAATCTTGCCCAGAGTAACGTGAAGGAAGGAGGCAGTGGAGAGTCAAAGGATTTGAGGAATTGTGGCCATGAGAAGCAGCCAGCAGTCGTCCTAAAGCACCAGGAATCTGACGAGCAAAGAGACTGTTTATTTCACAGCCGATGCAATGTCAAAGGCAAATTACTTGCACTCGTGATCAGTGGAGGTTGTTGTTCAAACATTATCAGTCTAGAAGCCGTCCAAAAGCTTGGATTAACGACGCGGAGGCATCCAGAGCCTTACCAACTCAGCTAGATCAACGAACACGGTACGATTAATATCACGAAGCAAGCGGTGGTTCGTTTTTCAATCGGTGGTTACGAAGACGAGGTAATTTGTGATGTTGTTTCGATGAATTATGTTCACCTAATACTGGGTCGACCTTGGCAATTTGATCGTAAGGTCACACATGATGGTCGAACCAATCGATATAAGTTTGAGCATTGCGGCAAGAAGATCGTTCTGGTACCCCTTTCGCCGGACGATGTTTACGGCGATTTGAAGCAAATTGAGGAGAATAGGAGCGAGGGAAAGAGCGTAAGAGCTCAATTATGGGTACAAAGACGTATTGGACTTGATTTCATGGGCTTTAAAAAGCTTTCGCTAGCTGTTTCAGAGTCGGACACCATCCCCTGTTCCGGCCTCTGTTTTGCGACAAAACAACAGAGTTCAAACTCTGTCATTGCTACCGACGACGAGGGAGGACAACCAAGGCACTCCGACGATTTCAAACCGTCTATGGAGGTGGGAGAAGGGTCTGAGAAGAGAGAAGAAGGTCGGGAGAAGACTGACGATGGGCAAATCGACTTGGTGACACGAGCAGCAGAGCGTTCCAATTCTCCTACAAAACAGAGCATGAGAGAGGAAGAATCAGCTGGAGCTTTCGAGAGCGCTTCAAACCCAACCAAGAACATCGATACATTCCATGACATCCTGGGAAGCTTCGAAACTGCTTTGATTGAGTCGAATGTCTCTGAATTACCAAATCCAATTCGAGCTAAAATTGCTCTGGAAAAGAGCAAACGTGAACAAAATTCGGGTCTATTGGGTGTGGCGATTGAGGATGATTCGACACGGATGGATAGAGCAGAACAGTTTCCGATGATCCCAGGAACGTGTAGGATTAAACAATTCGACGAGAAGGGGCTTCGATTTGAAACGCCCAACTTCGAATTGCAAAATCTGGGTTTCGGAATTTTGAAATTGGGCGACGGCGGGAATGTGAAAATTGACGAATTGACAACGACAGTGACGAATCGAGGCTGGGAACAGGTTCAAATCTTCATTTGGAAGCTTGGAAAAGAGCTTGGAGTGGTTGAATTTGATTGGGAATCCTTGAAACAAAAATCCCCAAATGTTTCGAGCAAGTTCATGAGCAAAGCTGAAGTCCAGCAACGAGCCAACTGTTCTGAACCCTTTTTGGTGCAATTAGTCGTCAATGCAGGTTTATTTCAAACCCAGAAAGTGTTTACAACAGCTCTGAAAGCTTCGAAGGTCGCGGAAGACATCGAAACTAAATTTGACGACGTCAATTTTCTGCAGAAGATTGTGTTTGAGCAGCCCACTTTCGATCCAATTTGGGATCAATTCTGTGTACGATTTGAGCAAAGAAAGGATAAAGTGTTGAGGGCAACACTTTTTCAAGAGGGAGGGCCTGATATGATCCCAAATGGTCCATTGTACACGTTTAAATTACTTTACGAAGAAGCTATCGAAGTTGGGAAGAAGAAAGGCAGAATTTGGCTGTGTCAAAATCCGTGTTCAGGGTACATACTTTGGAGGCATGGTTCTCTCAATTTGCTTGGTGGAAATTCAAGTTTAAGGGTTTGTTTTGCAGATCAAGTTACCATCTTTCCAATGGTATGCTTTATGGAGCCAGATGATGTCATTAAGGTTGTTTTCCAAGGCCTCAAAGTTGCTACCTCAAAACTGGAAAACTGCCAGAAAATGGCTAGGCAGAAAACTGTTTTGTGAAGCCTACTTTGGAGCTCAATTCAAGGAGCATGGATCTGATTCGAGACCAAAGGCTTCTACAGCATGAAACTAGGTATGTTTATATACCAAGGGAAGGAATCGGATGAAAGATCGGAGTTCTGGAAGGTCTCGAACGAAAGGCGCGAAGTTAGTACGAAAGCTGCCTTTTGACTGTTTTGCGGGCAGCTTACTTGTGCTTCAAGAAAGGAAGTTTATGGCCGAATTTAGAGTCCTTTTTAGAGTTTGTTTTTACCTTAATTGTTTCCTTGTTCATCTAGATTTGTATTAGGTTTATTTGCCTTTAAATACCGTTCTATTTACGTTGTAAAACATAAGACTTTGTTGAATAGAAATCGAAACCATTTGGTTTGTGCAAGTTGCTACTTGTTTTGGGTTTGGTGGATTCCAAACTTGCTGAGCTTGTGTATCGATTGAATAGTCACTTCAATCGTGGTCGAGCAACTACCCTTTTATACCAATCGAGCTATCCCCAGGTGTGGATTTGTCCTTTTGGTTCCGTTTTATCCAAGTTCGTATTAAGAACGCTTCGTTCTTGATTCGAGCTCAATCGATTGAGTCGTTTGCTGCGTTTCTTTGATAACATACACCCCCCAAGGGCGTATTATCAGGCGATGACAATGCAGAAGGGGGGTGATTTGGGCATGCCAGAGGAGGTAATTTGTTGGGGTAAGCTTAATCGAGAGCTGTGGATTGGAAGGGAGGGCAATAGTGAGAGGAGGAGCGAGAGCAGATCCAAAAGGAACAGAGGTGGAGGATTGAGGGGAAGTTTCAGAAGTCATTGTAGAAGAAATAGAAAGGATCAGAGAGATAGAAAAAAAAATCTCATTAGAGGAGAGGGCTCTGATACCATAAAGATGCTCTAAGGCTTGAGTTTATTATTCAGTATCTCAACAATATATATAGTACATGTACGCGTGAGGTAAGGAACTGAAAGGAGATTTACAAGGGCACCAACTAGCTGTTGTAACAGAAGGCACGTAGTGAGGAACGTGAGAAAGTGGGTTGCAGTAGAATAGGAAGGTTGTTCCTTATCACTTTCTACAGAGAAACTACGAGCAGCTCCAACACTGGCAATTCAAATTGAAAACACAGAATGACACATATTTGGTGTAATGAACTTAGGGACGGTTAATTCAACAAATGCGTTGGTCGGCGACCAACGCTTCCCCGACCAGATCTGCTGGTCGATGGCCGATGGGGACCATCATAAACCAAGAACCATTATTGACCATTTGCTCTAGTCTATGAGAAATTAACTCGGGACCCAAAATCAACCCAAGAAGAAGAAGAAACGCAGCCTGCAACCCTGAACCCACCAACCTATCGACTCATCGACGAAACCTAGCAACCGGAGAAGAAAGTCTCCATCGGATTCACGACCAATAACCCACCAACCCCCCTGACGCTAACCGATGGAGGTGCTTCAATTGATGGATTTTGCGAGAAAGTCATCTCCGTAGAAATATGACTCCATATCTTCACTAAATCCGACTCCAGATTGGTCGGATTGAAGATTTGTAAATCTTTGGCATCTCGCCCATTTACGGTGGCGGCGAAGCGTGTTGTCAAATCGCCGAGAGATGGGGAGGTGGAGGAACGGAGCGGAGCAGAGGACATGGCTGCGGCGGCTAACCAAGAAGAAAAAACAGCCCCGACGGTGGGGTTTAAGAAGGAAGAAGGAAGAAGGAAGAGGCTGGAGGAGGGTTGATTTCAAAACCCTTTTGCTCATCGCCGAGGCAGGGGTAACAAGGAACATGGAAGATGATGTTCCTACTGATCAAGGAATCAACAAGATAGTTGCTGGTTGCTGGCCTTGTTGCAGAAAAGAGCCACCTGATGAACCACGAAGAACAGGGTCAGCAAAGGAAAGGAAAACGACGACGCAGAGAAGCAACGGACAGCTTGGTATGATTTATTAGCTTTTCACTGTACAGTCTTACACGTGTAAAGCTTTGATTTGTCTATAGTTTGCAGTAAAAACTAACTGCTGGGTAGATCTCTTTTTGCTGCTTTTGCTCTGTAAAGTGTATATATTCTCTTCTCAATGGAAAGCTCAGTATGAGCAATTTCTCCAATTCTACCTCTTCCTAAAATCTTCTTATGGTATCAGAGCGCTGCTCATCGCGCTAAGATCCGTCATCCTTGTTGATCTACTCTATTTCGTTTTCCCCTTTCTATTTCTTACTCTAGCATTGAGCTCCTGCTGTACCAACAATGGCAGAAGACGATTCCGACAGAAATAAGGCCATTATGGCCTCGTATGAAGACCCATACCTCAATCCGTACTATCTTCCTCCAAAGGATGGTGCACTGTCCACCATCATCTCCATCAAGCTTGGCGATGGCAACTATCACACCTGGAGCGAGGTGATGATGTTGGCTCTAGACACCAAGAACAAAACCCAATTCATTGATGGTCGTATTCCAGTTCCTCAGGTAACAGATCCTCACTACCAGTCCTGGTCTCGTTGTAATGGCATCATTCGCTGTTGGATTTACAACTCTCTGTCAGATGACATAGCAAATAGTGTCATGAGACTAGGGTTAGCAAAGGATGTTTGGGATAACCTAAAGAATCGATTCAGTCAAGAAGACAACATCAGGGTTTATGATCTCAATGGTCAACTATCAAAGTGTGTTCAGGGTGACAAATCTGTTAGCCAATACTTCACTGATATTACAGTTCTTTGGGAAGAACACAAAAGGTACAGACCCATACCTGTTTGTCCTTGCAATCCTGGACCATATGAAACCTTGAAGAAGTATGAAGAGAATGACTTCGTCATTAAGTTTCTTCAAGGACTGAATCCTGTCTATCAGTCAGCAAGGACACAGGTCTTGATGATGCCTGCTTTGCCTCACATTGACACAGTCTTTAAGAAGATCTTGCAATTGGAACGACAGTTAAAAGTGATGAATAGAAGTTCTGGTGTAGAAACCCTTACCCTTGCAGCAGCTGCTTCCAGTGGAAATTCATATAAAGGAAAGGGGCAACAACAACCAGACGGGAAGAAAATCTGTTCCTATTGCAAGAAAGAAGGGCATCTGATCAAGGATTGCTTCAAACTAAAGAACAAGAAGGCAAGGGAAGCTACAGAAGGTGCTTTTGCTGGTTCAATTGAAAGTTCTTTCCCAATGGAGAACTCTTCTGGTTCAATTGACAGCAAGGGACAAACTGGATTGGAGAGCATCTTCACTTAGGATCAGATGGAGAGACTTAAACTACTGCTATCAAAGTCATCATCTCCATCACCTCCCAGTTCACCTTCAGTTCACACTGCAAATGCAGTAACCAGAGCTGTGCCTGGACATAGGCCACCTGTTGCTGCACATTACCTTCCTTCAAGCTCAGGTACCACTGTTCTTTCCACCTTGATTGCTTCCTCTGGAGAACCCTTATGGGTGTTAGATACTGGGGCTACAGACCACATTGTTTGTAGTCCTAAGTATTTCAATAAGTATAGAGCAGTAGAAGATGTCTTTGTTACTTTACCAACTGGAGTACAGGTAAAGGCCACACACATAGGGATTGTCCAACTGCCTTGTGGCTTGTTTCTTTCACAAGTCCTCTTTGTCCCAATGTTTAACTACAATCTAGTCTCTGTCAGCAAATTAACCAAACAGAATCCTGTCTCACTTACCTTTCAATCCTCTTACTGTGTTATCCAGGACCTTATTACACAGAAGAGGATTGGTTTAGCCCAAGTGGATAGAGGACTCTACCTTTTCACCAAGACACCAAGTCCCAACTCACCTGCCAAGTGTCTTGCAGCCACCACTTACAACTTCCAGTCCCAGTCTTTTGATCTATGGCATTCCAGACTTGGCCACCCCCATGTTTCTAAACTTCAAGCTATTAGCAAACAATTTTCTGATGTAATAGCTACTAAACACATTCACTGTGATGTATGTCACCTTGCCAAACAGAAAAGGCTTCCATTTCCTTCTAGCAATTCTGTTAATCCAGTTCTTTTTGGATTAGTCCATGCTGACATTTGGGGGCCATTGAATACAGTTTCATACAATGGTTTTAGTTATTTTTTGACTGTTGTTGATGACCATTCTAGATGTGTGTGGACCTTCCTCATGAAACACAAAGATGAGGCTAGGCCTTTACTTCAATCTTTCTGCTCTATGGTCAAAACACAGTTTGGTAAAAGTGTTCAAATCATCAGAACTGACCAAGGTCAGGAATTCCACATGAATGATTTCTATCAGGCTAATGGAATCATTCATCAAATGAGTGTAGTTTACACTCCCCAACAGAATGGGAGGGTTGAAAGGAAGCATCAACACCTCCTAAATGTGGCAAGGGCTTTGAAATTCCAGTCCGGTTTGCCTCTTTTATACTGGAGTGACTTTGTTTTACATGCAGCCTATCTGATCAATAGGACTCCCACACCTATTCTCCAAAACAGAACTCCCTTTGAGGTTTTGCATCAGTTACCACCAGATTATGCCAATCTGAGGGTTTTTGGATGTCTGGCTTATGCAGCTACATCAGGACAACCAAGAACCAAATTTGATCCTAGAGCTAAGCAGTGTGTCTTTCTGGGAATACCTGCAGGAATCAAAGGGTTCAAACTTCTTGATCTAAACACTAAACAGGTGTTCATCTCTCGAGATGTAGTGTTCTATGAACACATCCTTCCCTACAAACATACTACTCCTGAAACACAAACCAGTACACCTCCTCCTGATTTCCAACTCCAATTTCCTTCATCTACTGATCCTTTAGATTTTGAGACTTCACCACATCATCAGCCTGAGGGGGGGAGCTCAACCCCCATCCCTTTTTCACAGCCTGATGAACCTGTTGAAGTCTCATCACCAGATATGCCTGATAATTCTTTCAGCTCTTCTCCCACATCTTTACCTTCACCTGTCTCTTCTCCCTCTCAGTTACCCTTTTCACCTTCTCCTTCTCCTTCTCCCCATGAAGATCCCCCTATTCCTCTCAGAAAAACCTCCAGAAATCTGAAACCTCCAGTGTGGCATGCTGATTATGATGTGCAGTATCCAATGCACAAAAGTATCAGTTATTCACATCTACAACCTAGACTACAAAGATTTGTGAATTCTTTGATTACTCATGCTGAACCAAGAACTTATATTGAAGCCTCTGAGCATCCAGAATGGAATGAAGCTGTGAAAGCAGAACTACATGCTCTACTTGAAAATGGAACCTGGGAAATCACAGACTTGCCAGAGGGTAAACATGCCATAGGCAATAAATGGGTGTTCA